AATTTCTGCACGTCCGTACTTTGTTTGGTTAATAATCTATGTACAGTTTCATGAAGATCATCAAACCCCATATTATAGTCTTCTGAACGTGATTCGTGCATGTCTTTTGTATCACGATCTAGCTTGCCCGAAATGATCTCTTTGTGAAGGAACGAAATGGTGGCGTTGAAATCGCTGATGCTATGATTTACAAATAAAATGAGAAGACCAGTCAAATTTTTTCTTCAAATCTTCACGAGGATCCGACTCTATTTCGGGAATACACAACTTATATAGTTCGTCATACTGAACAAGCTTGTTGCAAGTATCATTGACAAAATTATTGATGGTTGTGTTGGTCTGATCTACCTTGAGTGACATGGAGAGACTGGAAATGAATAAGAAAATTACCAGAGCAAAAACAAGAATCGGTGGAGAAGTCATTTTGTTCTTCCTATCGAGACCTCTTTTTTCACTCTTTACCGTGGGTAAGGTGAAATTTTATAGTGAAATCCTGATAAACTAGTATAATTTTTATTTCGAAATTATTTTCTTCATTATTGCATACTTTTAAGAAAGGAAATAATTAATTTTGATATGATTTAATTTCTTATATTAGAGACGGAATTAATTATTTTCTATGCGTGTTCAAATCTCTGTAAGTATACACAGCAAGATTGTCCATATCAAGTGTATCATATCTTGAATTTAAGTGGTATCTTTAATTACTATTACTATTTTTTCTAATTAAAGAAGGTTGGTATCTTTAATTAGAAATTCAGAAATTTCCTGCTTAATTATCTTTCCATATACCAACGATTTTTGTATTAATGAAATAATAGTATATATATTTTGAAACAGATTAATGAAAGAGTAATACTCTCCTCTTGGAATTTTAGTATTAAAAGTGATGCAAGAAAACGAAATACGAAGAAATTACCTGAGAATATTTGTTTATGGATATTAGTTATTATATCATGGTATTCAAATAATGATAGAAGAAGAAAAAAGCAGCTCAAAGTAATGATAATGGTTAGAACATTCTTCAACATGGGCCATAACAATTAGGTTAAAAACAATTTTGAATTTTCACAAGTTGCAATTAGGAGAAAGTTTTCCAATAAAAATTCTGAAACCTAATTATCCTAATTACCGACCTTCAGTTTAGTTCAATTTCAGCACGTATTTTTAGACCATTATTTTATTAAGGGCCATACGTAACATTTTCTCTTTCCTACTGAAAAGAGAGATTTACTTAAACTGAGATTAATAAACAATATATTTTTTTAGCATTTACTCTTTAATACTTAAACTGAGGTTAAAAACAATTGTGAGCATCTCTTTAATTAGAAGAGATCAGGTAGTGTATGGATTATTATTTTTTCTATTTCTCATTTCGTGAGGGTAGTTGAGACTCTAATTAAGAGCTTTAATATATATATATATATATTTTTTTTTTTTTCTTTTTGACCTAGAATTTTAATAAATATTAAAATCCATTCATAATTCGTCACTGAATTCATTGGAATAAATGTATAAAATGAGACAAACAATCATTATTATTGATTAATAATATATAAGTAACTAATTAAATTAGAGTAGTTTGTTATATATATATATATATATATATATATAAATCAAAGCAAATACTCATGGAGTAATAAAGACCACTTACATTTTTTAAAGAAGTAGCTTACGGTTAAGGTCCACACGCTCTAAAGTTGAGCTATTCCAGCATCTGGATGTTACATCAATTCTTGAAATTTGAAATATAATAACTAAAACCTTATTTGATAACAATTTTATTTTGGTTTTCTAATTTTAAAATTTTAGTTTATAAATAATATTTCTCTCCCTATGTATTTCTTTCCTTTATTATCTACTTTCTAAAAACATTTTCAAAATTTAAATTAAATTTTATAAACTAAAAAATAAAAGTTCCTTTGGTAATGAACAATTTTGTTTTTGGTTTTCTGTTTTCTAAAAATAAGCTTGTAATAGTTTCACTTTGTTTTGCATCTACTACCAAAAACGTCTTTTTAAATCTAAGAGAAATTTTCAAAGCTAAAAGATTAGTTTTTGTTTTTAAAATTTCGCTAAGAGTTTGATATATATTTCTAAGAAATGTTAAAAAACACACCCTGAGAGCAAACAAGTATAATTTTAAAAACCATACAACTGAACAACATATAGTTACCGAATGATGACTACTTTTTTTTTTATTTTTTTATTTTTTAGTTTAGCGAAAAATTAAATTGTGTTCTTTCAAAGGAATAATAAATCAAAGAAATAAGAATTTTCATTTTCTCTAAATAAATCACCACAAACCCTAAAGTGTGAGGGTATACCCAATTAAGCTCGGTATGATTATTATTATTATTTTAGTACAACGAATGAGGTGGAGATAAACTCGAATTAAACTCGATCTTGTAGTTTCATATATTAATATCATTAAATTAAGAATTAGATACTAACTAGACTGATTTTATCCCAACATATATAACATACATAACAAATTAATATATATAAGAATATCTAATTAAAGACACCACCCAAAATATTCAATTCACTTAGATTTGATTTGGACAATCTTTCTCAACTCTAACGGTCCTTTACCCTACAGGGATTTACACACAAATAAATCGTTTCACCTAATTAATTAGGTTTTAAGACAATAATTACTTTTTTTCTTTTTTGGTTGTAATTACTAATCGGTATAATATAGAAACAAAATATATAAGGTTATAAATGCATATAAGATTTACCTTCTTTGACCCATATTTATTATACTCACAAAAAAGAAGAAAATACCATACCAGATTGATTTTTTTCTTTCTTTTATACATAAATAAAAAAATAATTAAATTGGCTCTAAGACAGAGAATCGAATCATATCAAAATTAATTATTTTCCTTTCTTAAAAATATGCAATAATGACTCCACCAAAAAAACATATATATTTTCACTATAAATTTGTCTGGTATACCCATGATTAATTGTTAAGTTAAAAGAGTGAGAACATAAATTGAAAGGAAAAACAAAAATGGCTTCTCCACCGTTTCTTATTTTTATTCTTGTAATTTTCTTATCAATTTCCAGCCTCTCGGTGTCAGTCAAGGCAGATAAGATGAACACAACTCTCAACAATTTTGTTCATGATACTTGCAACAAGCTTATTCAGTACAATGAACTATATAAATTGTGCATTCTCGAAGTAGAATCAGAGCCTCGTGAAGATTTGAAGAGAAATTTGACTGGTCTTCTTATTTTATTGGTAAATCATAGTATTAGCGATTTTCACACCACCATTTCGTTCCTTCAGAAAGAGATAAATTCAGGCAAGTTAGATCACACTACGAAATACATATATGAGGCGTGTTCAGAAGATTTTCAAAGGGGGCTTGATGATCTACACGAAACAGTGCAGATATTACAAACAAAACAAGGTGTAAATGTCCAGAAATTGCCCGTGGAAGATGTGGATACCCTTTTAGGTGGATCGTGTAAGGATGGTTTTGATATGTACCCTTGGTCTCCCAAGTGACAATCTCGTTACAATGCATCCAACTCATTATTGATGCTCTCATTGTCAATGGTTAATCTCATTGCATGTAATCGTGTAGAAGCATGTATCTCTTGATTTAAACAAATGTTATTGTGAATAAATTGAGTCCGGTGTACTAGTGATTTAAGTATTTTTTTTTCATTTTTATGATTTGTTTTTATAATCTAGTATTATTTTTTTGGGATTAAAGTCCTTGGATGGAAATATAGTTTTATTGACAATAAGTTCCATTGTTATTTTTATTGGGAACAAGTTAAGCAGAAGGAGCATCTTCCATCTTCTATAAAAGGCTCCCTCTTCAATTTTGAAAATATCGCCTACATTTAACTTTTATTGATAAGAGGGAAAAATCGGTGCATCGATAATCTTGACATGTCATCGACATGTCCATATATGTCGTTCAAATATTTCATAGACTGATTAATAATACCTCAAGGATATTATTTTTTTGGAGAGACCTCAAGGATATTATTTTGATCTCTAATTAAGTAATCACATATCTCATKATATGTAATCGTGTAGAGACATGTGTTTCTTGATTAAAATTTAGCTTTGTTGTTTTGGGATTAAAGTCCTTGGATCGAAATCTAGTTTTATTGAGAATAAGTTGCATTGTTGTTCTTATGGGGAACAATTAGTTAAGCTCTATTTGATAAGGATTATTATTTAAAAAAAAATGATATCTACACAATTATTTTTATATTATCTTTCACCTTTCTTTAATAAATAAATTTAAAATGTAAGCTAAATTTTAAAAAGAAAATCAAGCTTTCAAAACCCACTTTTTTTTTTTTTTAATTTTCAAATTCTGCAAGTAATATTTATAAACCTCATTTTCAAAAACCAAAAAATACAAATCTAAATCCAAATGAGCTGCAGATTTGATATTTCTTAAAGAACCAACAACAGAGAAAAAAAAAAGTCAATGAAGAGGCTAAAATAGCAATTAAAAACTAAATTAAAGTGATATTTGTCTAACATATAACAAGGTAATTAAAAACTACAATAATAAACTGATAACTGATAGTGTAACCTAAATTAACTCGACAACCCATTATTCATGATAAGAGTCCAGATCTGAAGGGTATGCCAGTTTCCGACAACCAATCAAATCCATTAATGAAGTTTTGTACAGTAAATGTTTGCGCTAATTGTTCATCAATTACATGAAATCCTGTCCAATTTACTCTTTTGGACATGTCAGCACTAGGACCTCTGTTGTCGAACTCTCCGTAAAACAAGTGGTCTACCGGTACACCCACCACTCCGACCACCCTTCCGGCGCCACCACGTCATCAAGAAATGACTCCATGAAAACAACACTTGGACGCTGGCTCTATTAGCTGCTATCTCTGGTGAACTTGTGACGGAACAGTTCTGAAAGGAGTGGGCGAGTGTACCGGTAGACCGCTTGTTTTATGGAGAGTTCAACAACAGAGATATGAGTGCTGACGTGTCCAAAAGAGTAAATTGGATGGGATTTCATGTAATTGATGAACACGCAAACATTTTACCATACAAAGTTTCATTAATGGATCTAATTGGTTGTCAGAAACTGGTGTAGTTGTTAGATCTAAAGGGTATGCCGGTTTCTGCCAACCAATCAGATCCGTTAATAAAATTTTGTACATTAAATGTTTCAGCTAATTTTTTTATCAATTATTTGAAATCCTGTACAACTTACTCTTTTGGACTGCATAAAAGAGATGGTATATTGGGACCCTGGGACCTCACTCGGACCACCTGCCGATGCCACCACGTCACCAAGGAATGATTCCATGAACACAATAGTGGAATATTGCCTCCACGGCCGACCCAAAAACACTAGGCCCTATTGGCTGTGTGTCTGACGAAACTGTGACTGAACATTTTGAAAGGAGAAGTTGGGGGACGTTGGATATTCTTTTGATTGTGCGGTGACTGTAATAGTTTTGCTCAGTATGCGAGCGTAGATGTTACAGTTTTGGAACACAACAAGTCCGTGTCTAAATATGAAATACACGCTCCCGTAGATGTCACACTCCTTGAAAAATTAGGATTATTTTCCCTTTGAATACAAAGTGTCTTGAAAACCCAGAAATCTGCACTTATAATAGGTAGTGTACTCGGCTTCATTATGACAGCCACTGCTTGGTCATTTTGAAGTCCGGCAGAGTTGTCGAATGTTAAAGATTGCTTTGATGGCTGCCATGTAAATGAAACCAAGAAATCAGTGGGTTTCATTGTTATTGAAGGAAAAAAAAAAAGTTACTGCAATGGCAAGATTATATATTGGAGGGGCTGTTGATGTAGAGGAAAACACCCATAACTGAAGTCAAAGAAGTCTAATTTAATACCACAAAATAATATCTCATAATTCCATCAAAATAAAAATAATGTCTCTCATAATTGGGGAGAGTTATAAAAGAGAAGGAAGGCACTTACTGAAAGTTGCGGAGTTGGTAGTCGTGAATCCAGACTTCCAGTTCCATTACTTCTAAGAAGTTGATCTGGTTATCACCGCAATCATCTCTTTCATTAACGACAGATAAACTTCAAAGCTTTGAAAGGAGAATCCACTATGTTCTGTTGGTGATTCTTTAGATTGTGCAACTAACCAAGAATTTGGGTTAACTGACCCATAATTATAATAAAATAAATAGTGGTTATTTGAAAGTGGGGAAAGGAACAAGAACAAGAAAAAGGACTGCAGAGACTCACACAAAGGTCGTCTTCGACGATTCTGTGAAAATTAAAAGATTAAAATTCCGTAAGCTTTTTACGACATTGATAAGAAAAATCATGAAATTTTTGAAGCTAATTAAAAATAATGAACTACATAACTTTTAAAAGGAAAAAAAATAAAGGATGGAAGTTGAATTGAAAATGAAGAAGGAAGAGATGGAGTGGTGTGAGAAGAGAAGAAAAGGGCATACATATATATATAGGTGACCAATTCCAACTACCAACTAGAGAAATTGGTGGAAATCATAAACACTAGAGATATTAGCATTTAATTAGTAATTAGTGGGGTTGTTTAGCTGTTCTTTTTCCT